CATCTTCCTAGGAACATCGCCAAAGGCAAGGGAAGCAAGGGCAAAAATGAACTATTGGGATTTTATCAAGATCAAAAGCTTTTGCACAGCAAAGGAAACAGTTAACAAAACCAAAAGACAACTGACAGAATGGGAGAAGATATTTGCAAATGACATATCGGATAAAGGGCTAGTGTCCAAAATCTATAAAGAACTTAGCAAACTCAACACCCAAAGAACAAATAATCCAATCAAGAAATGGGCAGAGGACATGAACAGACATTTCTGCAAAGAAGACATCCACATGGCCAACAGACACATGAAAAAGTGCTCCACATCACTCGGCATCAGGGAAATACAAATCAAAACCACAATGAGATACCACCTCACACCAGTCAGAATGGCTAAAATTAACAAGTCAGGAAATGACAGATGCTGGCGAGGATGTGGAGAAAGGGGAACCCTCCTACACTGTTGGTGGGAATGCAAGCTGGTGCAACCACTCTGGAAAACAGCATGGAGGTTCCTCAAAATGTTGAAAATAGAACTACCCTATGACCCAGCAATTGCACTGCTGGGTATTTACCCTAAAGATACAAACGTAGTGATCCGAAGGGGCACGTGTACCCGAATGTTTATAGCAGCAATGTCTACAATAGCCAAACTATGGAAAGAACCTAGATGTCCATCAACAGACGAATGGATAAAGAAGATGTGGTATATATACACAATGGAATACTATGCAGCCATCAAAAGAAATGAAATCTTGCCATTTGCGACGACGTGGATGGAACTAGAGGGTATCATGCTTAGCGAAATAAGTCAATCGGAGAAAGACAACTATCATATGATCTCCCTGATATGAGGGAGAGGAGATGCAACATGGTGGGTTAAGGGGGTAGGAGAAGAGTAAATGAAACAAGATGGGATTGGGAGGGAGACAAACCATAAGTGACTCTTAATCTCACAAAACAAACTGAGGGTTAATGGGGGGAGGGGGGTTGGGGGGGTGGGATTATGGACATTGGGGAGGGTATGTGCTATGATGAGTGCTGTGAAGTGTGTAAACCTGGCGATTCACAGACCTGTACCCCTGGGGATAAAAATATATTATATGCTTATAAAAAATAAAAATTAAAAAACAAAACAAAACACAAGCCCACCTACAAGCGTGTCTTTGCATGCTGCACCGACACTTCTTGGCAAGAACTTAGCATATAGAAAATATTAGTTTAAGCAGTTGTGATTTACAGTTATGCCAACTAATCAAAATCTTCTGCTCATATACAACTGATTAATGACCATACATTCCCAATTATAAGAAAATGGTCTATTTTCCCATAAGAATAATATTCTTATTAAAACCTACCAGAAAGTAACAATAAATCCATGGAGTATTTGATAGATATTTTTCAATGATCTTATAGGCTTCTATTGTATCAATGAGGGAATCTAAACTGAAGGAGTTCTTTGGGCATCTTTTGTTCTAGCACCCAAGACTGGGATACCAAGCGTGTGTTAGATGTTGTATCAGGCTTTGTAGAACATTTTGAGAGGAGCAGAAGAAGAATCCCTCACCTTGAGGTACTTGCTACCTAAAAAGAAACCTGGATAGACACTAGCAACATAAACATACAAGTACAACCTGCAGAGCCTCCTTACAAATATGTAAGGGCATGCTTCAGGCCAGGAACTATTCTAAGGTTCAAAAACTATAGTGATAGGTGAGGTCTTTGCCTTCAAGGAATAGATCAATACATTCTCACTACTTACCCAGTTTAGCTTCCCTGTCTTTGCTTTTCCTAGCCTCTCTGTCTTGTTTTCTCCACCCTGTCCTGGGTATCCGAATTCCACCCATTTCATAAGGACTGAGTCCTACCTCCCCTGTGAAATCCTCTCATCCCTCAGATCTTTTCTTCCTCTGGCTCTTTTTTTTTTTTTTTTAAGATTTTATTTATTTATTTGACAGAGAGAGAAAGATCGTAAGTAGGCAGGACAGAAGGCAGACGGAGAGGGGGAAGCAGGCTCCCTGTGGAGCAGAGAGCCAGATGCGGGGCTCGATCCCAGGACCATCGATCCCAGGACCCTGAGATCATGACCTGAACTGAAGGCAGAGGCTCAACCCACTGAGCCACCCAGGTGCCCCCTCCTCTGGCTCTTTTAACACTCACTGCCTGCTCCACTTTCTGGTCATTCACCAACTGCTCTGCTATTGCTGGTTATGTGTTCACATGTTTACGAGCTGTCTTCTTAAGGGTGTAACTTGGGTTTTATTTATTCTTGAATCTTCTTTATCCATGAGTGCTTAGCATAATACCCTGCATGTATTAGATACTTACAACATGTTTTTTAACTGGTTGATTTAAAAATATGATACATACACTACTAGCTTCATGGTTAAGGGGAATTACTTAGTAAAACATGAAAAAAAAAGATAACCCAAACATCTGAAAAATGGAAGTGATAAAAGTATATGAAATCCCATCAAGAGATTTATCCTTTGGAAAAGATTCACTGATACTCTAAAAAATACTTATAGGAAGGGCAGTACATTAAAATAAGTTTATTTAGTTATTAGTGAAGTTATCAGTTTTATTCTCCAATAGACACAAGAGCTGAGTTGGATAAGAGTACAGTTCGTCCCTCAAACAGCTGAGTCCTTATTGCAGGCCAAGGACCATGCTTCATGCTGGGGTCCAAGATGGCTCAAACATAATCCTCTCCTTGAAAAGCATACATTCAAGTCACCAGAATATTTTATCATAAATTTTTTAAGGGGCTATGACCAAACCAGACTCAGGTTTTGTCTACCGTGAAACACTTTGTCTATCTGAAACACTTCGTCTACCGTGGAGGATTGAGGGAAGGCTTCCTGGAGGAGTCATCAACTAGCATTCCTCTAGGCCTTCTCTGCCAGAGTGCCTTCCCTACTTCTCTGCTGGTAGTCTTATAGCTGCTTTAAGACCCACTTCAAATGTCACCTTCCCTGAGAAGCCATTCCTAAACCTCATAGGCATAATGCATCCCTCACTCCTTGGTGTCCCTAAACCACTTAGCCCAACGATATTACAGCATTTGTCACATATTCTTGTAGTAAATCGTTCCTGTGTCTATCTTCCCTGCTCTCTGCTCCCATAGATTGTGAACTTCCCACAGACAGGATCTACTTTGCGTTTATATCAGTCTATCAAGCACTTACCACTGCCTGGCACGAGGTGGATGGGAAGACCACTGTATTATTATAGTTGGCTGGAGGCCTCTTGAACATCACTGGGTCTCTGGCTCAGAGCCCAATTGTGCATCTATAGGTCCCAAGTTGAGTGCCAGCTGTGAGGCAGGACTCAAGAACTGCCTGCCAGTATTAGTGACAAGATGTTCACTGATTCTGTTTAGTCCAACAGATACATACTGAGAACTAGTTCACATAATAAGAATCTAGCCACTCCTACTAGAATATCTACTGTGTGCCAGGTGCTTTATATACACAATCTCATTTATTCTGTGTAACAACTTTGAAAAGTTTTATCTCCCCATAGCTTAATGTATAAACTCCTTGAATCACTATAATCACCTGAAATTAATGTAACATTGTGTGTCAATTATACTAAAATAAAAAAATTTTTTTAAAAGCATTATCTCCTTTTATCAGATAGGGAAAAGAAGCTCAGAGGCTAATTTGCCTGAGGTCACACATCACCCCGAGTGGGCTGAATGTAAAGTACTATATCTGCTGTGTTCTCTTCCCATACAACACATGGATTAAGTATATATCTCATGAGAGGTGAAAACAAAGGTCCAGAAGTCAAAACAGATTTAGGGGAGTGCACATGGAAAGGTGATAATCAGAGGTCTTCATGGAGGTGGAAACAGATCTAGCCAATTAATGAACTGGAAAAAACATATAGAAAGATTTTTGAAGAGATAAACTTCTTGGTACAATAAAGGACGCACCACTGCCTATCAGGGAGGCAAGCACAGAAAGGGTGGGGGACCCTTAGATACCCCACTTGGGGGGAGGGGTCTCCAGCCTTATGCACGGTTTCACCTCTCTGGTTCATGAGGATGGGAAGAGAAGGTGCTCGTAAGTGAGCCATCCCTAAAGTGCAGGCACCAAAAATGCGCCCACAGACCCAGTGGAAGATCTGTCAAATCTCTGTCACCAAAAGGATGACGGGGTGGGGGTGGCGGGTGGGGGGTGAGGATGTTTTTCTCACTTAATATTGAGGAAGGAGTAGTTCTTCTGTTTCATCATATGAGTGTGTGTGTGTGTGTTGTGTATGTGTGTGTAAACGCGCGCGCGCGCGTGTGTGGGCAGATTATTTTTTCCTCCATCACCTGGAGGTTGAGGAGATGGCACCTTTCTCCCAGCTCTGGGAAAAGAGGCGGTTCTTTTCTTTCCCATTACAGGGAGTATGTGCGTGTGTATGCGCGCGCGCACCAGGGGAATGGGTCCATTCTCATCTCAGGCTCGGGAGGCTGACACCTCTCTTCCTTCGAAAGGGAGTGGGGACAGTTTTCTTCGCCTCCATCTCTGGGTGGGACATGGCTCTTTTATCCCCAACCAAAAAGGTGGTAGGGGTCTCGGCTCCTTTTTCCCTGTTCTAGGGAGCAAGACTGGCTCCCACACTCTCTCCACAGAACTCCGCTCAGGTTGCAGGAGACCTGGCAATCCCCCTGTCCCCAAATCTCCAGAGTAGGGACCCCACCGCTAGGTGCGGGGCTCGCAGGCAGCGAATAGGGGGCGGTGCCGGCTCTGCGGCGAGAGGCGGGGCGAAAAGTGGCTCCGCCTCCGGCCCCCGCCCGCTCCCTGGCGCGGCGCCTCGCGCTGCCCGGCCCGCCCGGCCCAGTGCACCGCGGCTGTCTGCTGGGCTCGTGCGCCGCGAACCCGGCCGCAGCCGCCTCAGCCGCCTCAGCCGCCTTAGTCCCTCAGCCGCTTTAGTCCCTCAGCCGCCGCCGCCTCAGTCTCGCCCTCCGCGCCGTCCGGCCCCGCCGCTCAGCGCGCCCCCAGGCCCTCAAGCCAGATGATGAACTTCCTGAGGCGCCGGCTGTCGGACAGCAGCTTCATCGCCAACCTGCCCAATGGCTACATGACCGACCTGCAGCGGCCCGAGCCCCAGCAGCCGCCGCCGCCGCCCCCAGGTCCGGGCGCGGCCTCGGCCTCCTCGGCGCCCCCGGCCGTCTCGCCGGGCCCCGAGCGGAGGCCGCCGCCGGCCCCGGCCCCGGCGCCCGCGTCGCATCCCGCGCCGCAGGCGGCCGCGGCGCCATCGGTGGGCAGCAGTTTCTTCAGCTCTCTGTCCCAAGCCGTGAAGCAGACGGCAGCCTCGGCCGGCCTGGTGGACGCGCCCGCGCCCGCGCCCGCCGCCGCCAGGAAGGCCAAGGTGCTGCTGGTCGTCGACGAGCCGCACACCGACTGGTAGGTACCCGGCCGCCGCCGCCGCCGCGCGGGGTTCCCGGGGCCTGCCGGGCAGCTGGAGGCCGCGGGGAAGGTTGTCCCGGGCGCCAAGGAATCGTTCTTGACACCTGAGAGGGAGGGTCTGCATGGTCCCCCTGTGGGGAGATATTGGTGGTGGTGGGGGGGGGGGGGGGTTTCAACGTTGTGCCTGCTGGCGGGGGCAGGGTGATCTGGAAAGGTGAATCCTGAGGTGAAATATTGCCTCGATTCTCTCAAATCCCTCACGACACGTAAAAGAAGGAGCTACTTTATGCAACAGGGAAGAATCCTTAAAAAAAGAAAAAAATAGAGTTTTGTTTGTTTGTTTGTTCTAGAAGGGAGGGGGCAGAAAGAACAGACTTTCAGCCTAGACACTTAGAAGCTCAGGTGAAACATTTAAAGCCAATACAAAAGATTGTACATCGTGAGGCACGGAGTGAATTTGCGGTGGAAATGAGTGTTTTGAGGGAGAGGGTGATGGGGGTAGTTTTCACCTGGCTGGATGAAGGCTTATATCAGTATTGACATCTACGTTGGTCGAAGCACGGATGTGAGCGCCCAGGTGTATGTACTTGAGCTTGCTGCAGAGGAGCATGGCTGAGGTCCGTTTAAGAATAATAAAATGCTTGTGTTTTTTGAAGCACGGAGGGGATTTGTGGTTTTTTAAATTTGTTTTTAGTAAAAAAAAAAAAGTGTGTGTGTGTGTGTGTGTGTGTGTGTGTGTGTGTGTGGCGGCGGGGTGGGAGGATGGGGAAAGTTGTGAAAGTGAAGGTGGTTTTTTCCAGCTGGAAAGATGATGACTGAGGTAAAATATTCTGGATCATTAAAGGGGTACAAACAAATAAAAAGATCTACCTTAATGCAGTAGACAGCAACTTGGAACTTGGAGAATTTCTTTCTTTCTCTCTCTCTCTTTCTTTCTTATTTCTTGGGATATTGCAACTTAGAATGGTGAAGGCTTCTGGAAAATGTTACCTCTAGTTAGTAAAAGCATGAATGGGGTTCATTCAAGACAGATCAGGTTAAAGAGGTTCTATGTCATGTAGCAGGAAGTTGGCCCAGGAGATGGTTGGGGTCGGTGGTGATGGAAGAATTGACTGGTGAAGGAAGGGCTTGAAGAAGTGAAGAGGCAAGAAATCTGGGTTGCTTCTTCTTCAGGAATATGGGAAGGGTTTTATTTTTTACTTTCTCAGAAAGGTTGAGGTAAGAGCCTGGACCCAAGTGCTTCCTCCTGAGAGTGAGACACAGAGGGACCACAGAATTGTTTTTCTCCATTTCCTCTTTTGGCTGCTTTACTGCTTTTCTCTTTCATTTTCTCACAGGGAGACTTGGAGGGAGGGAGTACTGGCGTGGGTGTAATGGAAGTGAGATGTAGATGTGGAGATGCACTCCTGCTGGCTCCTAATATGACCATTCTGAATAGTCATTTGGGTGACTTGTGTAGTTGCCTTTTCTCAGAACAATGGAGTAGAAAATCTTAAGGGACCTTTGTTAGGAAATGACAGAGGAACTGGCAAGGGTGTATGAGGAAAATATAAGAGTATATGATGGTACCATTGGTAGTCCCATAGGAAGATTATTCTTAGTTTAAATTACAAGTGCTTATTAAATGAGAAAGGTAGGTAACTAAGTTTTATTGAGCAACTGTTATATGTCAGACCCTTACTAGGTGCTCTTATATATGTCTCATTAAATTCTAAACACAAAGCTGAGGCTTACAAAAAGTGAGTAAAGTGTTCCCAGTCATACAGCCAGCAAATAGTTGACCTAGGATTTGAACTTAGGCCCATTTGACTCCAGTATTGCCATTCCACTATGCTGTATTGCCTCAAAATATATATAATATTAATAATGTATTATCATTATTGCCAATAATATAATAATAAGTTTGCCTTATCATTATATTATTGGCAATATTAATAATAGGCTCCCTCTACAGGGTAGGCAGAATAGGGGCCTTACCAAGAACTCACATTGAAATTTGGAGACAAAATGGAGACATGAACAGTTAAAAAAAATTATTCTATAATTATTATTTCAGACCAGTGTTTTTAGGCATTCAATAAATGGAGTGATTGTGAGAGCCAGAGTTATTGGAGAAAGCTTTATAAAAGATGAGGGTTGTTTTTTGTTTTTTTTTTTAAGATTTTCTTTATTTATTTGACACACACAGAGAGAAATCACAAGTAAGCAGAGTGGCAGGGGGAAGCTGGCTCCCCGCTGAGCAGGGAGCCCAATGCAGGGCTCAATCCAAGGACCCTGAGATCATGATCTGAGCCGAAGACAGACGCTTAACCAACTGAACCACCTAGGTGCCCCTAAAAGATGAGTCTTGAAGAAAGGCCAGGAAAAGGAGGGGAGAAATGGGAATATTGATGCTTCATTTTTTATGCAGGAATCTGACACTCATGTACCTTGTCCTGATCTCCTGTTCTGATGAAGACATTTGTTTTGGGTTTAATTACCAGTTAGGTACCAACAGGTAGGAAGATACTCATCTGTGTGGGCATGATGTGGCTGCTGAGATTTGTGTTTAGCACTAACTGCTTCTATTGCTTAGGATTCAAAACTCTTTTTGGATAGTGTTTTTCTCTAGGAAAACTGCCTGCCTGGCATGAACCAGAGAATTTGCCTTGCCCTGGAGACTAAACTTCTGATGGAAGTAATAGAAGCCATTTTCCTTTGGGCTGACTCCCAACTGTTTTCTGATTTTCTTTGTAGTAATAACATTGATTTATTAAAACTCATAAACCCAGTTTGAGTCTAGTGCTTGACGGCATTTGATGCTTCTGTTTCTATGCTTAATAGCAATTCTCAGGATTGCAGATTTTGTTTTCTTTCTTGCCTGAATTTGCTAAAAGCACCTCAGTTAAATATTTTTGAATGGTTTTATTGAAAGTTCTCTATAAGGTAAGGAGCAGGTGTCTGCTTATGACAAGAACAGTGACTTAAAAAGGTGCTTTTTCCTCTAATGGCAAATTTTAGCAAATTTGTCTCACTGTTTAAGCTATCTAGATAGCATTCAGTGAACAGGTGTTATATATGCCCAATATTATTTTCCTGATGCTTGAATAGGAAGTCAGAGTGTAGCTTCCTGGTAGAATTTAAGAATATTGGTCCCATTTGAACTATAGATTACTAAAATAAAGAGGGTTTTAAGAAGAATTTAAATAATTGGAGATTTAAAAGAAGGGCTTAAAGTTGGCAACCTCTCAGAGCAACCTTAATATATAGCAGATTCCTTCAAATTTTTATCAGTGTAATTGTGGACAATGGAATTTGGGGACTTTTCCACAGACTAAGTTGCTGGGAAAATTGGAGGTTGTTTCTGTCTCTTGTTTAAAATGTGTTTTCATTGGTTGCTTGAGATCTTTAGATTAATTGCATGGTAAAGAATCATTGAAAATATGTATCTGTTCCACTAAAAAATGAAATCCCTTATTACTAATTGTTACTAGTATTTTAATTATATATACGTTTTGCCTGAAATGCATGTCTTCTAAGGTTCATACCTAAATTTGAAGTGCAGTTAATACTGAACTCTAATTATCTTTGTGCTTAAACAAGGAACAAATGTCCATTTGTATGTTGTTTTTTTTCTGCATCTTACACTCTCACTGGTGAAGAGGTAAGTTTTCTCTCAGATTTTCCCCTGCCTCCATTTTCAGCAATTCCAATTCCAGTGACCAAGTGAGCTTTTCCATCTTAGCATGTCTCAATGTTTGATTTGAAAATCAGCATAGCACAGACATTCTAGAGATTATCTGATGTTCTGGGGACTGTAGATATGGTAAGTCCACAGGTGTTTATTGAGCACCTTCTTGTTATGGGGTGTATATGCTAAGAAAAAGGAGTTGTAGTATCTTTGAAGATTTTTCTGTTCAAGTGGACAGCTAAGATAACACACTTTAAAAAAAATTAACATATAATGTATTATTTGTTTCAGGGGTACAGGTCTGTGATTCATTAGTCATATTTATATAATACCCTTGCTCATTATAACACATACCCTCTTCAATGTCTATCACCCAGTTACCCCATTCCTCCACCCTCCTCCCCCCAGCAATCCTCAGTTTGTTTCCTATGATTAAGAGTCTCTTGGGGCGCCTGGGTGGCTCAGTGGGTTAAAGCCTCTGCCTTCGGCTTGGGTCATGATCCCGGGGTTCTGGGATGGAGCCCCACATCAGGCTCTCTGCTCAGTGGGGAGCCTGCTTCCTCCTCTCTCTCTCTCTCTCTGCCTACTTGTGATCTCTATCTGTCAAATAAATAAATAAAAAATCTTAAAAAAAAAAAAGAGTCTTTTATGGTTTGTCTTCCTCTCTGGGTTTCATCTTGTTTCATTTTTTCCTCTCTTCCCCTATGATCCTCTGCCTTGTTTCTTAAATTCCATATCATGTATCAGTGAGATCATATAATAGTCTTTCTCTGTGACTTATTTTGCTTAGCATAATACCGTCTAGCTCCATCCACATTGTTGTAAATGGTAAGATTTCATTTTTTGATGGCTGTATAATATTGCATTGCATATATATGTACAACATCTTATTTATCCATTCATCTGTTGATGGATATCTGGGCTCTTTCCATAGTTTGGCTATTGTGGACTTTGCTGCTATAAACATTGGGGTGCAGGTGCCCCTTTGGATCACTACATTTGTTTCTTTGGGGTAAATACCCAGTAGTGCAATTGCTGAGTCTATTTTCAACTTTTTGAGGAATCTCCATACTGTTTTCCAGAGTGGCTGCACCAGTTTGCATTCCCACCAACAGTGTAGAAGGGTTCCCTCATACTTTTTTTTTTTTTCTAAGTTTACAAAAACTACCCCTTATATTCAAAGAATATAGTCCTTGGATCAACAGTATTGGCATCAAACAGGAACTTTTTTTTTTTTTTTAAGATTTATTTATTTATTTATTTATTTATTTTAGGTAGAGAGCGTAAGTGGGAGGGGCAGAGGGAGAGGGAGAGAGAATCTCAAGCA